GGGATGAAGAGAATTAAAGGGAACATTAGCTTTATCTCTAATATTTGATTTGCTTAAAAGCCATTCTATTGCCAGGTATATAAATTCAAATGTTCTCATTTGTAGTTACAATGCATAATTGAAAGATATTTTCCTAGCATAAAATTCACAGTCTAAAGTTAATGTTTCTTAAATTGAAGACTGAGTACAGCTCTCAAGATTGAGAAATTGATTATTGTTTCATCCTTTCCAAACACATGACTAATTTATAAACAAAATGTCCATTTGTGTAAATTTCCAAAGAAAAGGGCTGGGGATATAGGGAACAAATGTATAGATTAGATTTTGACTCTCCTTTTCTTACCACCATTCAATTGATTGGATTAATCAGGTTATGAGTATAGCTAACAGTCCCTTGTGATATGTAGGTTAAAAACACCAGCCAAAAAAAGCAACGACAAAAAATCAGTTCTTTTTGGGACTTGTAGGAACTCTGTGCAATTCTATAGGTCTCCTATTTTCATTTAAAATTAGGAGATTAGACTAAATAGTCTGAGATTAGTGAAATATAGTGGCAACCATACTTTGGTAAAAACTGCTATTTGAATTTTAACCCTTCTAGTTTGGTTCCTGCACCTGAATAAACACGGTGGGGAGGGGGGGGAGCTATTTACCTTAGCTTTCAGGTGGAGACCTGGAGGCTAAGGCAATTTTCCTGTGTCTGGGACCATAACCTTTGGAGATTAACCACTGAGTTATGCTTCTGCAAGATACAGCCACATTCCAGTGTCCAGCAGGATGTGACTGGGAACGACCCTATGGGCTAACCCCAGTTTTTAGAATATAGTCTTTAGGATTTAGAATTTAGAACAAAGGAAAATTCCTATGGTTTGAACTGTTGCAGAGTTCCTGAGTGGTTGACAGGTGCAGTGGGAGAGTTTGGAGAGACTTACTTTGTTCATTGCGCGATGGGCTTAGGGAGGATAAATTCAAAGTCTAAGCAAGGTTACAGGCAAAACTTCCTTTTTTTAATTAAAGAGCCAGCCCTATGTGCACTTAGTAGTTATCTCGATGCTGGCCTTGAAAACAATTCAGTTCTATCCAATTGAAAAAGTGCACCTGGCATGGTATTGAGATTGTGGGCATATCTGGTCTCTGGCCTACAAGGTCAGACAGCTAAGTTTATCTTCATCATTCTTCAAACGGGCTAAAGCAAACTAAAAAGCAAAATTTTATCTAGGAAGAACAGCAGAAAATTCCAAACAACAGTTTATTGCAAAATAGTTCTCCTCAGAACCTTTAAAAAGAACTACCTGCCCCTGAAGCAGTACAGTCGTGTAGGGTCCGCCTGCGTGTGGTGCTCTTGCGGCTGTCCTGGCCAGCTATTTCAATAAATCTTTGCCTGCTTTTTTAAATAAATCATCAGCCTCCGGTGGTCTTATTTTGAACCCAGGGTTTGACCCCACAACAATTAGACTAAATATTATTCTTGATCTTAGATTCTAATTCACCCAATTATATGAGTTGTCAATTTAATATTGGAAAACCAATTACATTATTTTGTAAATTATGAGAGCTACATGATAAAATTGTACACTTTATCATACTGTCTCAAAGAATAATTTAAAACATCCCGTCAAAATAGTATTTGGAAATGATTTAAACACATTATTTTTCTATTCCTACCTATTTCAAAGTTTCAATAATGTAGGTGCTTAATACGAAATTACTTTTTAAGAATGAATGCATCTTCCCAGCTGTAGTTTCTCAGTGGTTAGAGCATTGGCTCGCTTCAATTCCTATCAAGGACACATACCTGAGTTGCCGGTTTGATCCCCACCCAGATGAGGGTGCCTGTGGAAGCTAATCAATAGATGTCTCTCTCCCTACTCTCTCCTTCCCTCCCCTTTACTCTCTCTAGGGTGAGGACAAAATAAATAAATAAAAATAAATGGGTAGTTTTCTTTTAAGAATGAGTAGTTTTACTTTAAAAAATTAAAATTATTTGCAAATAAAGTTTTTATCTTACCAGTTAGTTTGCAGAAGTAGAGACAGTTTCAATTTGAGGTCACAGAGGGCAAAGCCAACTAATGGAGCGCTAAGTTATTTTTTTAAAGAATAGTTCTTGGGCCAAAACCTGGGCATGTACACTGACCAGAACCGAACCTGCAATCATCCAGTTCATAGGTCGAAGCTCAATTGAGCCACATGGATCATGGTGGAATGCTAAGTTATTAATCAGTGTTTCACATTTTCCTTATCATTAGTTAGCATTCCCTACATATCATTTTAAGGAGTCAAATGGGAAATTGTAGGATTAGGTCTCAGTAACTACTGGAACGCTGGGAGCTTTGTTTTTAAGAACTCTGCCTCTGTTTGAGGCATGTCCTGTCATTTATTTACTCTATTACCTTTAACAGATTACTTAAATCCTCTGGACTTTTTTCATGAGGATTTTGTGAAAACATATCAAAAGGTTACAGACTGGCTGGTGTAGCTCAGTGGTTGAGCATCAACCTATGAACCAGGACATCATGGTCAGGGCACATGCCCAATAGGGGGCATGCAGGTGGCAGTTGATCAATGATTCTCTCTCATCATTGATGTTCTATCTTCCTTCCTCTCTGAGATCAATAAAAAATGTTTAAAAATAAAATAATAAAATAAAGAGGCTATAAACAATGTCTGGTATATAGTAAGTGCTCAACAAGTAATAACAATCATAATGGTTAACACTTTAGTAGATATTACTCTATGCTAGGCACTGTTGTAAAACTTTATACTATTAACTATTACTATAACTGATGCCTATTTCAGGATTTAGCTTAGTAAACTATGTTTCTGCTTCAGAAGTGGGCAGGGTAGGTGGAAGCAATTTATTTTCCTTAACCTTAGCTGCAAACATTCCAAGTCACAAAGACTATTTTCCTGCTGGTTGAGATAAGACATGGAAGGGTTTTAAAGGATATATACCATTTCCTTTCCTTTTATCAGCAGAAGGTAAGGCATATACTATGCAGCTGAGCTCTTTAGCAGAAATTAAGAGTTGGCAAGTATTGCTCTCAACTGGTACTAATTTCAAGAAATCCTGAATCATGCTGAATCATAGCATTTTAGTTGGTCCTCTTAATACTTTCCTATGGCCCTTGTCATCCTACGAGATTACGGGCAAGGTCTGTGACTTAACTAGTCACCTTTGTAATCACTACAGTGTTGAGCACAATAACTGGGTAATACTGAACATGAAGGGAGAAGAGGGATAAAACACATTTATTCCTAGCCAGTTTGGCTCAGTGCATAGAGTGTTGGCCTATGGACTGAAAGGTCCTAGGTTCAATTCCCATCAAGGGCACATGCCTGGGTTGCGGGCTCGACTCCCAGTGTGGGGTGTCCAGGAGGCAGCAGATCAATGATTCTCTCCCATCATTGATGCTTCTCTCTATCTCACTTTCCCTTCCTCTCTGAAATCAATAAAAATATATATTTTAAAAACCCAAATTTACAGAGGAGGAAAATATAACAGGAACTTTTCTTCAAATACAGTTGGCAGTTTATCTTTTTAGTGGATTGGTGTTTTTTGTTTTGTTTTAAACGACGAGTGTTCTTTTTTTAAATTTTTAAATTTAATTTAATTTAATTGATTTTACACAGAGAGGAATTGAGAGGGACAGAGAGTTAGGAACGTCAATGGGAGAGAAACATCGACCAGCTGCCTCTTGCACACCCCCTACTGGGGATGTGCCCGCAACCAAGGAACATGCCCTTGACCGGAATCAAACCCGGGACCTTTCAGTCTGCAGGCCCACACTCTATCCACTGAGCCAAACCGGTCCCGGCGGGAACATTCATTCTTGAATGGCAAGCATTTTATGTAGCTCTATGGTTGGAATTGTAAACAAAAATTAAGCCAGGAAATATTGTGTTTCTTGAGACAAACTTATTTTCTTAGTATGGCATGGATGCACCCAAGGTGGACTCCCTACCTGGCCTCTTGCACTTGTTAAAATCAAAGGCAGAGACCAACGTTGAAGATTCCCTGAGCAGATAAAACCAGTTTAGTCATTTATTTAGCTTAATTACCAATCACTGCAAAAACACTACTTTCTCACTGCATGAGCTGCTTTGTAACGGTAAACCCCTGCAGCTCATTTGAGTGCTCCTAGTCTATAAACTGTTTTTTTGGCATGTGCACCATAAATTCTTACCAATTACTACTTCAGTGACTCTTTGGTTTTGTTTTGGTTATTTCTGAATCTTTGACGCATTACACTGACTCACTTAGGAAAGCACTACTAAAATGTCTGCATTTATACTATTCCTTATCTCAAGATATTATAAACATTAATCAGTCAGGGAGGGGAAGTCTATAAAGCTATGTAAATCAATGTTTCTAGCTCTCTCTTTCTGTAAAAAAAAAAATATATATATATATATATATATATATATATTTAAATATATTTTATTGATTTTTTACAGAGAGGAAGGGAGAAGGATAGAGAGTTAGAAACATCGATGAGAGAGAGACATCAATCAGCTGCCTCCTGCACACCTCCTACTGGGTTTGTGCCCACAACCAAGATACATGCCGTTGACTGAATCGAACCCAGGACCTTTCAGTCCGCAGGCTGATGCTCTATCCACTAAGCCAAACCAGTTTCAGCAATAAAATATATTTAAAAAAATAAAAAATAATAAAAGAGCAGAGGTCTTAAGACTTCAACTTAAAACTTTATTATTATTATTATTTTTTACAGCAGTTTCTTAGTTTACTATACTGTCAAGAATCTACATATCTGCTTGGTGCATTCAAATGCAATCACTGAATTTTTCAATATAAAGAAAGAAAAATAGATATTTATGCCAAAGTTAATGCGTGTAAACAGTCAACAGAGCTGGCATTACAAAGGAAGTTAGAGATTTGTTTTGGGATGGTAGATTTGTTGTGGAAGATATATGAAAGCTATCACCATTGAAAGGGCCACTGACAAAGCTCTGAGGTTGGTCTTGGATTTCCACAGTCTCTACGGAGAAGAAACTCTGCCTAAGAACAGGATGTTAGTTGAGGGATTGTGTCGAATTAAAAAAATAAATGGATGGTCGGCCATAAAATTTTCCTCTGGCATAAGCATGCAGAAGGTGGCAGCTGCCGCCTCTGTGCCCTCCTCATCTACTTCCACAAAAGACTTGTGGACAATTTTCGATATAAAAAGATCTCTGGCTTTTGACATGCCAGACAGATCAGCCTTGCTAGTAAAGAGATCCTCTATACCCAGGCTGGCCAGGTGAAAGTTGAGGTTGTAGCTCTCTTCCAGCTTGAACCTGGGCAGGTGGACGTTGACATCAAAGGAAGTCAGATTCTCAGGTTTGGTCCACTCATGCAGTTTTTCTAAGGTCAATTGATCTTCTATCTTTTTCAGACCCTCCTCCTCGATGTCATCTGGCAGCAGGATGATCATGCTGAGCTCACCCTCATAAGGCAGCTCCAGCACCCGGCACTTAAGGTCCTGAATGTAGCCAAATGGGAATTTGCTCTTCTGATACATCATTTTCACTGTTTTTGTCTTTTTCCTATTCAATCTGAAAGGTATATCGATTGTGACCATTTTAACGAATTTCTCCTGCCAGTTTCCTTTGAAATAGATGGCATTAACTAGCACAAGTTTAGTCATATTATCAACCATCCCTACAGCCAACAATTCTGGAATTTTCCCGTCAGTCTGCCCTTTGACCCACTCGTTTATCACCTTTCTTGCATCTTCAGAGACTCGCTGAAAATCTACTTTGCCCAGTATAGCTCCATACATTTTCTGGGTTGAAGTCAAGAACTCAGGGAGGAACCCACAGTTTTTCTCTCCATATAACCTATTAGCAAGCTTCAGAGTATAGGGAGCTCCGTGCTTGTAGATATCAGCATTCAGACTCTGAAAACTGGAATGAATCTCTTTAACCCCATCGAAGTGAAGAGTCTTGGACATCTGTGCTGCGGTGGTGCCTCTGGTCCCCAGAAAGACCATGGCCAGCGCTGAGGAAATGCTCAAAGGGGAGAAGAAGAGGTTCCCAGAGGGGTTGCTGTCCTTCAGGATGTGAAAGAGGTCCAATGCGAACTGGGTGTTGGCCAAGCTCAGCTCCCCCTCCATGGTGAGGCAATCCTGACTTCTCTGAGAGCTTGTTTCCACAGAGATCTGCAAGGAAGAATAGTTGTGCTGGCTGATTCCCAATGGCCAGGGCTGAGAGAGGGGTAGGCAGCTGGCAGATCCCAGCCCTGGGCAGCCCCCACTAGCATAGGCCTTAAAAATATATTTTTTAAAAATGAAATCATCCATCCCCTCTTTATGTTGACAATCTGCTAAATGATTTACAATGACTAAGTAAGCCCTAGTGATTTGAACCTAGTGATTTAATATCTGACCCTTAATATCTATGCTCTTAGCTACTTTACTGCCTCTTCACAGACATGATTTAACAAGTCACACTACCTTAAGATTGGAAGGATTAAATGAATTGAAACTAGGGTGAAGAATAAGATAGTCAATAAAGGATAAAATGGACATTGCTGGGATATACCAGCCAACAACATGGGTTGCATACTAATCTCAAGCTGCCTTTAAAGTCTACAGTAATTTCAGGACCTTCTAAAGTTCAAGAGACTGGAGATGACACTTCATTGTTGTTGTTTTTTAAAGATATATTTCTATTGATTTCAGAGAGGAAGCAAGAAAACTGAGAATCATCATGGGCTGCCTCCTGCATGCCCCCACACTGCGGATAGAGCCCACAACCCTGGCATGGGACCTCCTGGTTTGTAGGTTGATGCCAAACCACTGGGCAACACAGGCCGGGCCTTCCTTTCTTTTTCATTACATGAAAATTATGCAAAATTATGCAACTCTTTAGTTTGCATTGAACAACTTAAGTTGATGTCATCTTAACAGTATCTATGAACATATATAATGAGTGGCCAGATTATTATGATCTCTGAAAGCAGATAGATATTAGAGACCCGGTGCATGGCCAGGGGTTAAGGGACATGGGCGGTTGGCCGGCCTGCCTGCTGGTCAAACTCCTAGTCGAGGGCACAATTTGCATATTAGCCTTTTATTATATAGGATATACACTGAGTGGCTAGATTATTATGCGTTCAGAGATCATAATAACCTGGCCACTCGTTGTATACATGCAGTCTCTTTCGGAGAAAACACCAATTTAAAGGCCCATCAATTCTGATTGTGAAAGCATGGGCTAGATGGATCCCCTAGCACTCACTAGTCCACCTTTAGGTCGCAGGGGATGATCATAAAGTTTCTAAACCGGGCACAAGGTTTGTTGGAAGTTCGGTTAAGTATCAGCGCCATCCTTTTATCATCTTCACACCTTCCCCAAGGCTGGCGCCTTTCCCTCACCGGCCACTTATTTTGAGGCGGGCATATGGGTCCTATAGGGTGAGAGCAGGCAGTTCTTCCGGGCTCTGCCTGGGTTCACACAAACCCTAAAACACACTTCAGGGCCTGCGGCCTTCAGCCCCAGCCTCTGTGACATGACAGACCACTTTCTCCCCCACCGCCCCCAATCACCCCCAAACCGATGTACCAAGAATCGGGGCCTGCCTCTGAAAGCGCGGCCAAGGCAAGGAAGGGTCTAAGGGCCGACCCTCTTTTTCGGAGCCCAAGAAGGGAAAGGCGTTTGTCTCGGTCCCCCGCTCATCACAGACCCGTTCCCTGGCCTCCCTCCTCGCGAGCTGAGGGGGTAGAAATCGCCGAGGGCGGGCCGCACAGGCCTGTCCCCCTCCCCTCCAGGCCCGGCGGGGCGTGGAATAAGCGAGAAAACCGCGAGAGGGGCCGCTGACTGGAAAGCCGAGAAATACGGGCCGCGCCCGCGCGCCCGCGAGGAGAACTGACCGACGAGCGCGGAAGCTAACAGCCCCGCGCGGCGGCCGCCTCCCGCCCCGAGGCCGGCCTTGCCTTCCCGGCGGGAGGCTCTGATTGGCCGCCCGAGCCGTGCGCACTGATTGGCCGCGTGGGCGAGGCGGCGGAGGGCCGTGCGCAGCGGCGTGTGTGGGGCCGTGTGCAGACCAGCGTGTGGCGCAGGCAAGGACCCTCCTGAAAATAAACAGCCGCTGCCTGGCGAGCCGCGCACCTCGGCCTGCCTCTCGTCCTCCGGCGCCGCGGGCCTGCCCTGACGCGGGAAGGTGAGGATCGGGAGTGAGGGGAAGGGGATAACCGCGCGCGGCGGGCTCGTGTCCGAAGCGGACGGAAAGAGGGCAGGGAGCGGTGAGACGGCGATGGCGGCCTCACTCGAGAGCCTTTTCCGCTGCTGCGTCAGGCGGGAAACTCGGCTGCCACCGCCGTCTCCGGGCCGAGTTTCCGGCCTCCTGCAGTCGGGGGTACCCTGCCGGCCTCCCTTCCGTCCCGGGAAGCGGTGTTCCCGCGCGTCCTGGCCTCTCTCAGGGCCCAGGCCGCGCCCCAGGCCATAAGCCTTTACGGCGGATGAGGCCTTGGCTCGTGCGCTCTTGGGACTGAGGCTCCGAGACTTCGAGGGTCTCGGAACGCGGGGCGGAGGGGCGTTTTGGCGGGAACTTGCTGAAAGGAGGCCTTGTGGTGGGAAAGGGCCCTGGGCGCGGGTGGAGGGGGATGGGGTTGGGTGCTTAATGCAGGCCATGTGCTGGTGTAATGGGCTGGCGGGCCATGTGCCAAGGGTTCGGGATGGGCCTAGGAAAGGGGCCCTGAAGTTCTTGCGTTTAGGGGGGTAACACTCCGCTGGAAAGGCCTGGAGTTATACTCTCCATACTTGATAGCTTTCCGACTCTTGAATTTGTATAGTCTAGCGTTAATTTTTTTACTTGTCTCACATTACCATTCGAAAAGGGGCAGTTAAGGCTGGCGTTCATGAATCGACACTATTTTAAGTTAGAGGGCCCTTAAAAAAAAAAAAGTCTCGTTATCAAAGGGGAACAAATCACCAAACCTCCAAAATTCTAGCATCATTTATTGGATTAATTAAACCATGACTGTTTAAAAGGTGAAACGTGGTTAATTAGCCAGCCTCCCATCTAGATTTTTCCAAATGTGAAAAACCTATTTTAGAAAGGCATCATCGCCCACATTTGGGTTCTCATGTTAATTTTATCGTGGGTAAGGATTTTTGCTTGTTGCCACATGTTAACCACGTGGCCTCAGACACAGGGCGCTTCCAAGGAAGTGACATCTGTTCACGGGGGCAGCGGGGGGTCTTAGGAAAAGAGAAGGTGGCCCATTGTGACTTCAGACAGTGTGTAAAAGTCTTGTTTTCATTTTTTTGTTTCTTTTAAGGTGAAGAAGGATTAATGACATCGTCTTACCCCTAAATTTAAAGTTTTTAAAAATCCTTTTTCTTTTTTCCTATTATATATCCCAGTTTTAGAGAGAAACATAAGTTACTTTCTGCCTCACTTTCTCTTCAATCAATTAAATCAACAGCTTTGTTCCTTTTTTGCTTAAGTACCATAAATTGCAAGTTAGGATTTGTGGGTTTTAAAAAAATGTATGAAATGAAGTTCTACCTCTTAGCCCCCCTCCCAAGCAATTATTTTCAAATACTTCTTAAAAAATCACTGATCATGGCTTAATCAAACACCTACAAAATGCCACATACATAGGTGCATGCTCTTTTTAGCTTGTTGTACCTGATTCTTGCCTACAAGGAGCTCTGTGCTGGAATATAAAAGAGGTAACTTATTAGATCCCAAGAGCTGGAAAAAGAATTTTTCTTTCTAAATTGCAACTCTTGGCAGCAGTATTTTTTTAAAAGCTAACCGTATGAGCCAAACCGGTGGAAAATCAAGGGTCAATTATTACACCAGCATTTGAATACCTGGAACAGGCAGAGTGATGTATTTTTTAAGATATCATAAATGATTTTGTAATGTGATTTTATGACTATTTTCATCTTTTAAAATCTAATAAGAATATGTGGTGTGTACATGAGAAGGTACCAAATCAGTGCTTACAAGCAATAGAGCCACAATTCAATCTCAGGCATACCTCATTTTATGGCATGTCATCTTATTCTAGCAGATGTTATGATTTTTACAAATTGAAAACAAGACCTGTTACGGTTGGTTTGGCTCAGTGGATAGAGCATTGCATTGTCCTGCGGACTGAAGGGTCCCAGGTTAGATTTCTAGTCACGGGCACATGCCCTGCTTGTGGGCTTGATCCCCCGAGAGGGGCATGCAGGAGGCAGCCGATCAATGAGTATCATAAATGATGTTTTTCTCTCTCTCCCTTCCTCTCTGAAATCAATAAAAAACAAACATATATATTAAAAGAAAACAAGACCCTCCAGCAAAAAGATTAAAAGATTTATTGCTGTGATCTCAAACCAAACCTACAATGTATACGAGGTGTTCCTGTAATTGGAAATATAGGTCTGTTAAACACTTGACCACAAAAGAGATTTGCTTTTTTTCCCCTGCAAGAGTGAGGGGTTTTTTTGTTTGCTTTTTTAATTTTTTTTTTTTAAATATTGGCTCCTTTCCTCTTTCTGGCCTCCTGACAGTAAGTGGAGAGCCAGGAGACTGATGCCAAGGCAGCTTGGCCTGCTATGTGGAGAACACTCTTTCTCTACCGTCTCACTTAATAGAACTATTCTGGCAGTGTCAGACGCTGTTGCAGTAAGACTGGAGTAAACATCCTTTTCGTGTTGTAAGTAAAAAGCTTCTGGAATAAAATGAGAGCTTGTGGCCACCAAAATTCAAGTTGTAAGCCAGTGGAGTCTATTAATTAGGAGTATGAGAGTATGGTGCAGTGATTACCTGGTGTTGTTCATAATTGCAAATTAGAGTATTAATGGGTGAAATCAGGTTGCCGCAAGCCCTGGCTGGGTAGTAGGTTGGTTAGAGCACTATCCCAATAAGCAAGGTTGTGGGTTTGATATCTGGTCAGAGCACATACAAGTATCAACCAATGAATGCATAAATAAGTGGGACAAAAAATTAACTTCTCTCTTTTCGAAATCGATAAATTAAAAAAAAAATCGGGTTGCCAGTCTTTGGGTCCCTGGTTGCACTCTTTAAGTTATACCTTGAAGGTTAAGAAAATCTGTCTTGGCTTAAAATTCAGGAAAGCTGTGTCATTGTATACTATGAATAAACTCATTTATG